GGACTCAGGTAGTGTCTTCCCTCACTGTTTCCTGCAGAGAAAAAGGAGATGCTGTTTTTCCAGCAGGCCCTAGCCATTTCGCCCTCCATCCCCTCAGCTCCGGGTGCAGCAGGGAGTGGCCGGGGCCCGGGGCTGAGGTGGTGCATGTGGCCTCTCAGCAGGAAGTGAGGGGTGCATCCCGGGGCGGGGGTGCAGTGGGTGCTCCCCGCTGCTGGGGGCAGGGCACAAGAAGAGGGGGCAGGAGGGCCCCATGGAGGGGGGGGCATTTGGGGGTGGTAGGAGAGGAAGGTACGGAGATACGTTTAAACAGAATCCCAAGGGGAGAAACTGGGAATTGTGGACGCCGCCGTGGGCGGACGGCTTGTCTCGTGATGCTGGTTTGAGGTGGGTTGTAGAGCATGTGGCCCAGAACTAGGGACTGGAGACTAGGAGGTCATCGAAGATCTTGGACGTGCTGGTGGGGATGAGAACTGTGTGAAATGTACACTCTTATACGCAGATGTAATAAGGCCAGAGACTGCAGGAATGACAAGGGTGGCTGGACTTTTGGCCTGAGTGGTTGGAAGGGTCGTAACAAGGACGCATAGGACTGATGTCAGTGTCCTTGAAGCTCAGCAGAGAATTAGATGTAAAAGACATCCCCAAACAACCAACTAAATAAAAAACAGAGAAACGTATATTAAAACTAAAAACTTCTGTGCCTCAAATGGCACACTCAAGAAAGTGAAGAGAGAACCCACATGATGGGAAAAAATATTTGGAAATCGTGTATCTGGTAAGGGTCCGCTTACCCAGAATACATAAATAACTCTTTGCAACCGAACAACATAAAGCCAAACAACCCAGCGAGAAAACAGGCAAAGGATCTGAATAGACATTTCTCACAAGAAGACACACAAGTGGCCAGTACGCACATGAAAAGACACTCAGGGCACTTCCCTGGCGGTCCAGGGAAGTGGACTTCCTAACTTCCTGGTTAGGACTCCGCACTTCCACTGCAGGGGGCACGGGTTCGATCCCTGGTTGGGGAACTTAAGATCCCGCAAGCCATGTGGCATGGCGAAAGAAAGAGAGGGAGAGAGAGAGAAAGAAGGAAAGAAAAGACACTCAGCACCACGAGTCATCAGGAGGATGTAGGTCAAACCACAGCCAGGTCCCGCCGCACACCCACAGAACGGCTGGAGTAGAGGGACGGCCCTCCGTGCAGGGAGGTGAGCAGTGCAGCCACCGTGGAGATCAGTCTGGCAGCTCCTCCAAAAGCCAGAGGGTTACCATTTCACCCAGCAGTTCCCCTCCTCGGTATATACCCAAGAGAAATGAAAACTTAACGTCCACACAGAAATCTGTATACAGATTCTTTATGTTCATTGAAATTAGAAAAAAGAGCATTATTCAGAATAGCCAAAAGGTGGCAACAATGCGAAGGTTTATCAGTAGATAAACAGATAAATAAACTGTGGTTTATGCATGCAGTAGCATGTTACGCAGCCACAGCAAGGGGTGAAGTTCTGATATACACCACCAGACACAAAGTCAGAGCACAGCTGACTCCCTGGGTAGGAAGTGTCCAGAATGGGCAGACCCGGGGCAGAAGGGGAGCAGATGCCTGTGGTTGGAGGGTTTCTTGGCGGACGACAGAGTCCCGGAATCAGACGGCAGCCGTGAGTGCCCCACTGCGTGAGTGTCCCGGAGACTCTGGACTGTGTATCTGTCCCCGCGATAAAGCTAAGGTGATGGGTCACTGCGGGCCAGCGAGAAGCTCCTCTCGTACAGAGACTTGACTTCTCATCATCCTCCTGTGTCATCTTTCTGCTTTCTCTCTTCCGCCATGTAGAATAATTTCTCGCTTGCCTTGAAACTGCTGAAGGAGCTGCACAGAGAGTCAAAAACACGGGAGGACTGGCTCGTGAAGTGGGTGCAGAGCTACTGCCGGCTCAGCCACGGCCGGGCCCGGGCCCAGCGCCCGCCCGAGCAGCTCTGCGCGGCGCTGAAGACGGTGCCCCTGCTGGGTACGAGGCTCTTCTCCTCCCACAGTTTGTGTTGTGGCTGTGTGTCTTCTCGCAGTATCCTTTGTGCTGCTTTATCTGACAGTTGGGAATTAAATTTGTAAAACTTTTATTAAGTATTTGTTGAACATGCGGCGCCAAGGTGCTGTGTAATGTAATGGGTGGGTGCTAACGCTAATGGGTGTAATGCTACCGCATGGGACTCCTGGAGCTTTTGTTTCTTCATCTGTAAACTAAAGTTGAAGTTCTAAAATGTTCTCTTTAAGACTTAGCCAAATTTTGGGTGTAACAGTTTAATTATTTTGAAAACTTTATGTTTACATATAAGAACTGCCTCAAACAATTAGCCATGAGAGCCTTTTTCCTCCTCAGTTCTTCTGTCTGTGATGACGTGGCCTGTAAGGCTGAGCGGGAACCCCGTGTGTGGGTCCCGGGTCTCGTGTGCATGTCCCAGGTGCACGGCGGGGCTTTCCTGCGGCCTCCCGCCGGTCCCGAGCCCGACTCGTGGGCAGGATGGGGAAGCACTTTCCACGTTGATCCCAGGATCGGAAAATGACGCCGTGACTGCTCAGCTCTTTTTATAGGCTTTTCTGGGGGGGCAGGAGGAGTTTGCTGCCGTGAAGACGGCACTCGGTTCTCGTGATAATGACTGGCTGCCGTCGGTCACGGCCCTGTGAAGTAAGCGTCTCCTGGAGGAGCAGGTGGTGTGCGTGCAGGACTTGCCGGGTGACGGCCCTTTCTCTTCTCGACCTCTGCACGCTGTAGGCTTGCCCAGAGCCACACGGCCGGACATAGTACTAGACCTTGGACTGCGGTGGTCTCTGTTGCTTTGTCAGCTGTAGGTCACAGCATCAGTTTAAAAATCTGCGTTATTGATGTACATGCACGAATGCATTAGGAAGCACACTTTCTGTTCTCTGTTAACACAAAGAAGTGCTTGGACAAAATGCAGAAGGGTGATGCTTGAATGAAAGTTTATTTGGTGTTTTAATTGTTGAGCCTCGGTGGGCCGTGGTCGCTGGTGACAAAGAACATTGTTCGTTAATGTGAGTTCAAGAGATTCTCGAGTCAACGTTTGAAGTCAGTTTCTTATACCTTCAAGATTTCTTTTAGTTTCTTAATAGAAAACAACCTTTGAACACTATGAATATCTTCTTTGTAACTTACGTCACTCACTCAGTTCTCAAAAAATCCTGTGTGCGTGTGTGTAATCCAGCAGGTGAGAACACATCAAGCTACTTGAGCAGAAACGTTGTGGCGTCCCGTGACCATAACATTCTCGTGGGCACAGCGTACAAGATCATGGCCGACGCTCTCAGCAGTGAGCCCACCTGCCTCGCTGGGATCGAGGAGAGCAAGGCCAGGAGCGTCGTGGAGCTCTCGGGATCCAGTTCAGAGGATGCAGAGAAGGTAGTGACGCTGGGAGCCTGAGCGCTGCGTGTCGTGTGTTTGTCTCGACCGCGCAGGCTCCGCTACATGAAAGAAATGACACGTCTCGCTTTGTGTTTTCAAGACACATTCGACAGTTACACGCAGTCAGGTTTCTTATTGGAAAAATGACCTACTCCCCGTGTTTCCTGTTTATTTGAACGACACCCTTCTTTTAGTGTTAATAGCGAGAAGTCTGTGTTGGCTTGATGTGGACGGTTCTCCCGTGAATCTCGTTAGTGGAATCTCACCACTGGCCACCATTCAGATGCCCCGCTAGCTTATGGGCAGAATCAGCTTTTCTGCTTTTTTGTGTAGCACCTGCTCTGTTGGCACTGCTCAGGTGGTTCTGTGTGTTTGTGAGTTCCCACGTGCTCCCCGCGCCACTTGTGTCCCCAGCCTCCAGCCCTTCCTGAGCCACGCCCCGCGTGTTGGTGTTCAGGCGCCGAGATGGCGTAGGGCCGGCGTCTCTTTCCCAGTCCAGGCAGACCTGGCTCTGCCCTCGAGTGGCTTTCTGTTTACCGGTGGCTGACGGGTCCCAGGGGGGCAGGGTCTTCAGGAAGCTTGGTCTCGCTCACAGCCTGCCGGGGTCTCTGCATTCCAGGTTGCGGCAGGCCTGTACCAGAGAGCGTTCCACTACCTTTCTGAGGCCGTGCGGACGGCAGCACAGGAGGAGGCCGGGTGCTCGGCGCGGGGCCAGGAGCCTGCATGCGGGCTGGTGGCGGCTTACCTGGCGCTGGTGGAGTTCTGTGACCAGCGGCTCCGCAAGCAGGAGGAGGGCCCCCCCGGTGAGCCCCGCGCGTGCCCGCCGGAGATATAGGGTCTTGCGGGTCCTGTGCTCTCCTGTGTGTTTTTCAGTGGCATGTGTTCTAAGAGACGGCTTGTCTGTTTAAGAGGCTGTGACATGGCCATGCCCCACAGCCGGTGTGGGACCGGAGTTGGGCGTCTCCGTCCCTCCCTCCGTCTGCTTCCCTGGCGCGTGTCTGACCAGCTCCTGTGGCCACCCCTCGTGTTCCAGCCCAGGAAGCAAACTACTTCACCCGGTAGCAGAGGTCAGCGTCAGAGAGGAGCTCTTTTTTTTTTTTTTGCGGTACACGGGCCTCTCACTGTTGCAGCCTCTTCCGTTGCGGAGCTCAGGCTCACGGGCCCAGCCGCTCCGTGGCATGTGGGATCTTCCTGGACCACACGAACCTGTGTCCCCTGCATCAGCAGGCAGACTCTCAACCACTGCGCCACCAGGGAAGTCCCAGAGAGGAGCTCTTACATGCAGTCCGAGACCGTCTGCTGAGCTGCAGTAGTTGTTAGAAAGGAAGCCCGGGGGAGAGCAGCCAGCGCTGAGTATGCCACTCGTGTCTGTGTGTGGGTAGTGACCACGTCTCTCCTCTCCTGTCCCCGGTAGTCCTGGACGCTGCAGAACTGCGCACGTATCCGGCCCTCGTGGTGGACAAAATGCTGAAAGCTCTGAAGTTACACTCCAGCGAGGCCAGGCTGAAGTTCCCCAGACTCCTCCAGATCGTTGAGCTGTATCCAGAGGAGACCCTGGGCCTCATGACCAGAGAGGTCGGTGTCTTCCTTCAGGCGGAGGGGACTTGACCGAACTAACAGATGTGTTGTGTGGGGTGCGTGTGTTAATGGCTTTTCATAACCACTGAGTTTTGCTCCATCCCAACAACATGTGTCATTGAAAACCGTGTAAGGGAGTGTTCCCATGCACCCACTTTGCTCTGTGGGTGTTGACACGAAGGCCGTGTCTGAACGAGGACCGAGACGGGAGGAGGTGAGACCTCCACCCGGAGCTGGCTGCCCCTCAGGGCTGAGCTGCGTCTGTACGTCCAGGGGCCTTATGCTCAGGTCACTGTTCAGCAGCAAGAAAAGGGGGACGTTTCAGGTGCCATCCCCCCACACTCCACATCTCGGGAACCCCCAGGGCTCCTGCCCCACGTCCCGCTTGCCCGCTCTCACCCCATCCCGGCCTCTCCACTGGGGCTGCATTGGGGAAAAAGGGGAGGGTTATCAGAAAGCCTCCTTAGCGACTTCGTGGATGTTTAACTGGAAGACAGGGCCAGGCTTTGAGTTGATGACGTAATAGCTCAGAAGGGGTGCACAGCAGGTCTGTAGACGGTGCTGGTCGCTGAGCCCGCAGTCAGTTCTCTGTGCGCTTGGACAGGTGAGGGTTTTCAGTAGGTCCTACACAGGAGATTAAAGTAAATTCGGTATGAAATGCGGTACACATGCATTTTCCTCAAAGATAAGTAAAGAAATATTTCAGTAAGTTATGGTTCTTTTTTTCCCCCAAATCATACTTGTATATGATAAAAATAGCATTTTGAGTTTGTGTGGAAACGAACGGAGTGGTGGGTCGATGTTGTCATGACCCTTGAGATGGGCAGCTGGCCTTGCACTGAGGGCCCCCAAGCCTCCCGTCCTTCCTGGCTTTATACCAGCATTCCAAGTGCAGCGAAGTTTATCTTGAAATAAACACCTGGAAAAGCATTAGAGGAAAACCTGAGCAAAATCTGAAAATGGTCTTGGAGTTAAGAGACAAAACCCAGGAGCTATAGAGGAAAATAACTTGACGCTTCTATTGTTAAAAAAATGCTATATACAAAGTTAAGAAAAAAAACTGGGAGAAAAAATTTGCAACACATACTGGAGATGGAGAGCAGGCGTCTCCGCTGTCTGCAACAGACAGACTCGTAGCAAGGGGCGTCGCACGTGTGGTTAAAGCACGTAATGCAGGTAAACGCTGACTGCCCAGCCTCGCTAATGATGAGACGCGCAAATTAAAGTTAGGTATCTTTCACTTCTCAGATTGAAAATAGATTTTAAAAACTGTCAGATTGACAATAGATTTTAAAAATGGATCACGTCAAGTGTCGGAAAGGATTTTGGAAAGTAGTCGATCTACTACGCTTTTAGAAGTGGAAATTTGAAAAATCTTGGAGGGAAATTTAGCAATGTTTTTTACAGTTGTTAAAGTTCACATTAAAAGTAAAAAGGAATTTAGGAACTCATTTAGGAATTTCTCCTATGGGTATATAGCACAAGTACAAAGAGATAAACATAGGGTTGTGCATTGTAGTATCTGGATAGCAAAAATTGCAGGTACCCTGAAAGTTCATCATAGAGCCCTTGTGAAATGAAGCAGAATATGGTACAGCTGTTAAAAGGAATGAGGCAGATCTAAGAAAAGCCAGCAACAGCAAGTCTCCTCCAGGTCCATTCTTCTGAAGAAAGGGCCCACGTGCACACGCCCTGAAAAGGCCCAGAAGAATCGATGGTTCCCAGTGGGTCGGAACTGAGAGGGCTGAGAAGACTTTCTGTCTACACGTCTGTCAGTTTTTATAGTGCCGGTAGCAGATACAGCTATGTTTTGATACTGGACACAGCACACTTCTGTAAGGGAGGGCGCTGCATGTGCCGCTCATCACTCACTTCTTTCCGTTTCAGATTTCTTCCATTCCTTGCTGGCACTTCATCGGCTGGGTCAGCCACATGGTGGCCTTGCTAGACAAGGAGGAGGGGGTCGCCGTCCAGCGCACCGTAGCGGACATCGCCGACCACTACCCGCAGGCCATCGTGTACCCGTTCATGATAAGCAGTGAAAGCTACGCCTTCAGAGACACTTCTGCTGGCCATAAGAACAAGGACTTTGTGGCCAGGTGACACAAGAAAAATTAGGTCCATCCAACACTGAAAGGTTATCGAAACGTCTGTGGTCAAAGCAGACACAGGGACGCTTATGTGTGTCCTCAGATGAATTAGAGCTGCCGTGGAGGGCAGGAGGCCTAGATGTCTGTCTGTTGGGTGCATCTGCCCTGGTGTGTTATTTGCTGTAGAATTTATTTCCTTTTGTAAACACAGTTCATCTTAAAATGTTATTCATGAGATGGTTATGCTAACCATTAGTAATCTGTTGGTTGAGACGGACTAGATGAGATGCTTTTTGGAATCAGTTCCTGAAATTGTTCTGTAATTTAAAATCACCGGGAAGCCCCCCCTTCTTCGTTAAGTCAGTAAACTGCCCAGGTGTCCTTTTCGCTTCTTCAGTTGATTTGTAAGTGAGGACAGTTGCCAGAGCCGGCAGCAGTGTTTTACTTCAGAAAGAATACTTGGTAAATGCACGGCATTTTAGTTGCCCTTCTCTGTCAAGAGCTGATTTGCCTCATTATTTAGAGTGGGACAAGGCTGGGGGGCACAGCCCTCATCCCGGCTCGCTGATGGGCCAGCCGTGCAACCCACCCACCCTGTGGTGCCCTCCTGTGTCTCAGCAGAGGCAGCTGCCGCGTGATCGCTTCCTTAGAAAGAAAGAAAGCAGAGAGAAATGTTGAAAGTTTGTTGAGAAGCGGGGCCTTTTGAACTTGAGATCGTGGGCGCCAAAATGTTGAGAATTTGTTTTCATCTCATCTCTTGATACAGGACACACTTTGTGCTTCATCTGTTTTGGAGATAATTTTTAAATTGCTCCTTCCCTAGACTGTGTAGTTGGTTATGTATTGTTTTATATATAAATATAATTATATATACATAAAAATTATAGGCCTTGATCTTTGGAAGATGTTTGAGCACCTAAACCTGGTCATTTTTTGTAGGATTAAAGCTAAGTTAGATCGAGAAGGAGTGGTTCAGGACTTCATTAACGCTCTGGAGCAGCTCTCCAGCCCTGAGATGCTCTTTAAGGTAGCGTTAACAGCTTCCCGCACGTAAGACACGGGCTCAGTGCAACCTGCCTGCAGTCCAACTTGACGTGTCTTTTTTTCTGCACAGGACTGGACGGAGGACGTCAAGCTTGAACTAGAAAAGAACCCTGTAAATAAGAAGAACCTTGAGAGGATGTATGAGAGAATGTACGCGGCCTTGGGAGACCCACAGGCTCCGGGTCTCGGGAGTTTTCGAAGGAGGTTTATCCAGGTACGGGGGGGTGCAGCCGCTTGGTGATTACAGTCATTATGAAGACGAGGGCTTCTATTTGCTGGTGTGTTAATACTTCTGGTTTTAAAATGTCTGTTGAATTTGTAAACTTCCCTTAGATTTGTGTCTGTTAGATACTGATGGCGTGTGTTAGGTCAGACAGTGGCAAGTGGGGCACAGGTAAAACCTCAGGGTTTCTGTTACATTCTGTTCTTCATGGCCAGATTCTTAGATATGAAGGTTATGTGTAGTTTAATGTTTTTAATCCTCAGAGTGATTTGGGTATCGGACCAGGAAAACGTTTGTATTTGCCGCAGGTTGTAACCATTTTGTGAGCACTTAGTTCTGTCCAAGGCTCCGAGAGTTCACGGGGCCACCTGACACGTGCTGTGTGGACAGAGCTGTGGCGTCAGTGTGAGCTCCAGTTTCAGAGTTGCTCCAGACTTGGAAGGGAGAGAACGCACGCGGTGCTCCCCGCCTGGCCCCTCCCACCCCCGCCCCCCCACCCCCGGGACGGGGGTGGGCCTCCTCCGTCTGCACCTGTGTGCACCTCTCCTGCGTTTGTCACGCTGAGTTCGTTTTGACAATTTGGTGAAACCGCTTCTGTTCACGAAACCTCAAGAAGCTTTATAAAGAGCGTGTAGGAGCCCCGGTGCTCACCAGTCGCGCGTCTCTGGTGCAGAGGAGCGTCTCTGTCCCTTGGGGGTGTACCAAGTGCTTCAGCGAGATGTAGGTCACACGCCCTGCCGCGCGTGCAGTCACAGTGTGCGGTGCCCGAGGGTTCGCTGTTTTCCCGCCGCTCCCCGGAACAGCCCCGTCCCCGCCCCTCCCTGCTCTGCCGGCCCCCGGGGGCTCGCCTGCCCAACCTTCCGCGTGGACAAGTCCCGCGGGGCCCGGCTTCTTTCACTCAGCGGCACGCGTGCTGCAGCCTGTGTCGGTGCCTCCCCTCTGGGTGCTGGGGGTTGCTCCACAGCCTGTGTGTCCCTTGTCCACTGAGCGATGCTCCTGTGCAGTAGGCACAGTGACTCCGGGGCGCCCTCCTGAGTCAGACTCGGGGGCAGGGCTGACTCCACTCACCTCTGCCCGCGGAGCCCACCGCTGGCGTCTCTGGATACACGGGTGGGGGACGGTTCTGACCTCCAGAGGGAGGGCTGGGGGAGTCGTCCCTGCTTCGGGGAGCTTCCCTTAACTGTCTGAATGTGGGAACAGACAGGACTACCTGCTGCCTAACGTGTCCCGGGCTGTGTCTCAAGTGACAGTAAAACCCTAAACCTCGGCACGTACTGCATTTTATGACGCGTGTTCGACCCCATGTCCTATCAGGTCAGCCTCACAGCACTGCTGCCCAGTGACTGCAGGTCCCCGGCGGGCAACCCACATCCCGAGAAGGTACTGAAGGGCGGCGGGCCCGCGGCCACAGCGGGAACCGTCGGTGGGAAGGCGCTTGCGTCCGCCCTGTCCCCAGCTGGGGCCGCGCCAGCCTCTGCGGTCACAGCGCAGGAGCAGCCCCGGCGGGCAGCGGGCGGGCAGCAGGGATGGCGGCCTCAACAGGCTTGACGTGTGAAATCGGCCAGGGTCTGGGGCTCGCCAGGCCTTGTTCTGAGCCACGCCGCTTGTGCTAAGCACGTGGCCGGCCCAGGGCCAACCGAGAGGGCGGCAGAGGGGTCGCCGTGAGCTTCCTGTGGAGGGGGGGTGGGGGCCTGCCTGTTGGCCCCACCCTGGAAACCGCACCCTGGCGGGCTTTGTCCCGGCCAAGCTCAGCCCTCCGCGCGCCCAGCAGGGCCGAGCCCGGCAGAAGCCTCCCTACAGCTGCAGCCGCGGTTTGTCCAGAGCTTGCTTCCTAGTACCCGGGACAGTCCATCTGGAACTTTCTGCTTCGCACCAAATCAGCACACAATTTGCGTCGGTTAATTCAAATATTAATCCGCTAAAGCAGAACTGCCTCAGGTTTCAGTCTAGGGGGCCCTTAGGGGCGTTGTGCCGTCTGGATCAGTGCTGGTGCTGGTTATGCTGGGAAATGCGGATTGATCTTTCCCTTCATTCTAAGGATTGCAGACTGTTTCTATACTTTCAGTCCATTTATAGACCGAGGAAGAACTGTGTTTTATATATGTTAATTTTCCTGTAGTGGATTGTCTAAAACAGAGCTTATATTTCATTTATACCAGGCTCATGATGTGGGGTTAGTTCTACATTTGGGAAAACATTTCTAATTAAAGATGATCAGGTGAATCTTGACACCTTAGGTCACTGTTAGTAATACTCTTGAGTTTTGTTTCTTGTTCTTTTAAAATTTTTTTTTTTTTTTTTTTTGCGGTACGCGGGCCTCTCACCGTTGTGGCCTCTCCCGTTGCGGAGCACAGGCTCCGGCCGCTCCGCGGCATGTGGGATCTTCCCGGACCGCGGCACGAACCCGTGTCCCCTGCATCGGCAGGTGGACTCTCAACCACTGCGCCACCACGGAAGCCCTTGTTTTTTAAATTTTGATATCAGGGTTATAATTTAAATAAATATTTGAGTAGAAACTAATACAAAGAATGATTTGATATATTCCAGGATAGGGAACTTCTAATAATAATCGCTTCTAGAAATACAACTTACCCAAATGCTATTTATACTGGTTCTTGATCCAAAATAATGGCTTGAAAGACCCTCACTAAGGGAAAGTGTTTTTTTCTTATGTTTTTCTCTTTGCTGCGAGGAAGAACTTCGGGCTGTTCATTTTTTAAAAATTTGTTTATTTGTTTTTGGCTGTGTTTGGGTCTTTGTTGTTGCGTGCGGGCTTTCTCAAGTTGTCGTGAGCGGGCGCTGCTCTTTGTTGCGGTGCGCGGGCTTCTCATTGTGGTGGCTTCTCTTGTTGTGGAGCACGGGCTCTAGAGTGCAGGCTCAATAGTGGTGGTGCACGGGCTAAGTTGCTCCGCGGCATGTGGAATCTTCCCGGACCAGGGCTCGAACCCGTGTCCCCTGCATCGGCAGGCGGATTCTTAACCACCGCGCCAGCAGGGCAGTCCCTGGGCTGTTCATTTCCATTGAATTATGTCCTTTATTTTGTACTTTGTTCCTACTTACTCCCATTGTCATGATGGTGCAGATCAGCAGCTGTACAACGGACACAGAGGTTAAAGGATTTCCCCATGTATTTAAAGCCCTTATTAAGAATTTATGCTCAGAAGTCACCGCTGACTGTCATCCTTTCCATCTTCTCAAAGGCGCACAAAGACAAAAACAAAGGCAGCCTCCTGTGCTTTAAGAGAGTTGAAACATTCAAGGAGAGTGAAACTGTCAGTTAAAAGTGCAGGAAAAACCCAATACCACTTGAGCCCCTGTTTATTATGAAGATTCGTGAGCCTGGAACTTTTTCAGAAGTTCAGCTAAACATTAATATTTCAGGTAAATTATCATTAATTTCAGGCTTTTGGGAAAGAATTTGATGAACACTTCGGCAGAGGAGGCTCTAAGCTCCCTGGCATGAGGCTCCAGGACTTCCGCAGCATCACCAGCTCGCTGCTTGGGAGGATGAGCAGGGCCTCGAAGGCGCCAGGGAACCTGAAGGAGTGCTCGCCCTGGATGAGCAGCTTCAGGGCGGAGTTCCTGAGGGCCGAGCTAGAGGTTCCTGGTGAGTTCACCGCGCGGCGGGGGTGGGCAGGAGGGTGCTTGGAAGAGAGTCGTGCTGCAGCCGGCACTTTTGATTCTGAGATGGTGAAATCGGGATCTTGACAGTTTTCTTTCTTTAAAAAGAATTTTAAATTCCACATATTTTTCATCATTAGGAAAATCTATAATTACTGTGAGTAGTACGCTTATTAAACGTCTAGTCATATTCCTGGTTAAGACAAGCGCTCAGACGTCCACCTACTAATAACGGTAGCTGGTAATGTCCTCCGAACCTACCCGCGCATGGTAGGAACTGCAGCATCTGAGAAGTGCAGTAAAACGCGGTGTGGCTGCACACGGCTTTGTGGGGTGTGCGCTGGTCCCACCTAAAGCAGCAAGATGATGGTACATGACGTGCCGGTAGGAGGGACGCTAGAGTGGCACTGAGGACCTGCCCTGTCTTCACCGTGGAATTTGCCAGACCGAGTGTTTCACTGTGGTCACTTAGGTCCTTATTCCAGTGGGGAGAAAGGGATTTGGAGAAACAGTTTCCTTTGTTGTTATTAACAGCTGCGCATCACATACCATGAGTTTCAAAAAAACCACTGAAAACAGAGCCTCCTGACATGCAGCTTGACTCCGCTGGAAACAGCACGGGTGTTCGCCCGGGGCGCTGCTGTCCCTGTTTGCCTTTGTCTGCTCCACCCGAACGGGAAGCGGCGTCCACTAGCCTGTCAAACTGAGAAATGGCAGCATTTAAAAAAATACGTCCAGTGAAAACTTGGAGTTATAACTCCCCTCCTGTTAGACCAGTGGGTGTGTTTTAAATGCAGGGTGCAGCCTCTGAGTCAGGCTTCTGTGGTTTGTCCCAGGTCAGTACGACGGCAGAGGGAAGCCGATGCCCGAGTACCACGTCCGCATCGCCGGCTTCGACGAGCGGGTAGGTGCTGGGCGTCAGCTCCTCAGGTTCCAGGAGAGGCAGCTCACTCCCCATGTCGGTCTCAAGCGCACGGGGTTCTCTGAGGGTTGTGTTACGAGTTTTCTGATGGGAATTTACTGACCTTAATGTTTCCAGTCTTCCAACATCAGTCATGTTGAAGGACCTAGTGAACTCGAAGAATAAACTGTGTGTGTGTGTGTGTGTGTGACAAACGTGTGAGCCCTAAGTCCTGCAGCGAGTGGACGTGTCGTGTGTGGCTTGTCCCCGAGGACGCGTGTCTATAAGCTCTTCACTTGTCACCGGGAACCGGGCACCTCTTGGCACTGCAGCCGGGCAGGAACAGGGACCAGGAGACTCAGTGCCCTCGCTTGTCCTTTGCTCTGTTGCCCTCCTGTGTCCCTGGAGGGCGTGCCCCAGGCCTCGTCTCCCCTCTGGTGATGAGACCCGGGCCCATCTGAAAACGCTGTTTCGTTTGACCTTTAAAGGTGAAAGTGATGGCCTCGCTCAGGAGACCAATGCGCATCGTGGTCCGCGGGCACGACGAGCGCGAGTACGCCTTCCTGGTGAAGGGCGGGGAGGACCTGCGGCAGGACCAGCGCGTCTGCCAGCTGCTGCAGGTCATGAACGGGGTGCTCGCCCGCGACGCCGCCTGTGGCCAGAGGGGCCTGCAGGTGACCACCTACCGCGTGGTGCCCATGACCTCCAGGTGCGCAGAGCCCCCTGCGGGCGATGGGGGCGCAGGGGGCACAGGACCGGAAGGGGTTTTGTTGGGAAGGGGAGGAGGGGGTCCCGTGACGGTTCGGGTTCTAGGTGTCACGGGACAGAGGCCAACAGCACAGATGCTGCTCAGCCCGTGATGTTCATCCTCGTGGAGAAAGGGAAGAACTGTGTTCTAGAGAAGCGAGGGCAGGGGTGTTCATGACTGTTCTCTCCGTTCAGGTTGGGGCTAATTGAATGGATCGAAAGCACCTGCACCTTGAAGGAACTCCTTCTGAGCAGCATGTCACGGGAGGAGAAGGCGGCCTACACCAGGTGACCTGGAGTCCCAGGGCCCTGCCCCGGCCCTGCCCGGCCGCCCCAGCCCACAGGTCACCTCCACCCCGCCTCCAGGGACCTGAATTTTCAGGCCCTTTCATTGGCGCCCTTGGCCGCTACCTGGCCTGTACTTTAATCTGCCTCTCCATGGGTGAACAAAGGAAATGGAGTCCGGGGTTCTCAACAGTAGTTGCATATATTTTATCATAATTTTTAAAAAAGGATTAACTTTGGGGAAGAAGACTCTTTGAGGAAAATAAAACAGTAAGGTTAGCAGCTAACATTTAATTATACATTTTCTGTGGCACTAGTCTCAGTTCTTAATGTGTATGAAGTCATTTATTTCTTACAAAAAGCAAGAAGGTGAGTATCGTTGTCACCTCTGTACAGACGAGGCAGCTGAGGCTGGAGAGGTGAGGCTGCCCCGGCCTGTGGGGGGCGCAGGTGGGCGAGTAGGTCCAGGTCATGAATCAGGTGCTTTTTCTGTTTTCCTTTATCCTTTTTTATTTTCCAGGTTTCCTACGATGAGCATGTTATTTTTCAATCAGGAAGTTTTTTAAAAAATTTGTTCCTTGTTCTGTAAAGAAAACTAAGGACAGCATGGCTTACAGCCGTTTTGAAGCAAGGGTTGGCACGTTTGGGGGACCAGCGTTAGGCTGGCGGGGGAGGAGATTCTCCTTACTGGACTCCTGCCCCTTCCTGAGAGCACCTGCGCGGGGCCGGTGTTCTCATCGGTCACGCTCTCGTTCCTGGACAGTAGTTGCTACGTGGGGCAGTGTTTACCGTTACTTCCATTCACTTGAGTCTTTTGCCTAAAGTTGTTCCTGCTGCCCCTGCAGCACCGGCACTCTGGGGCCAGGAGTCCCCCCTCTCGCTGTGCTTGTGCTGACGCCCAGGGGGCCCGAGCCACTCGCACAGGCGACCTTCCCGGTTCCCACGGCCCCCGCCCGCCGCCTCCCACTTGTAAGATGGGAGGCTGGCATCCGGTAAACACAGGTGTCCAAGGAGTATAAAGTGCTTTTCACATATGGAATTGTATACATTACTTCCCACTACCTTTTTAAAACAAGGCACTTCAAGCCCCCATTCCTAAGATCATTGCTGTTTTTTTCTTAATTTACATGTTGCAGTTTTCCAACCTAAAGACTTTTATCCGGTTGAAACTAGGAGAGAATTTAGATGGAAATGGAGTGGTCTCTTTGTGAAATTAATGTAGTAGCAACTCAGAAAAGATTCACCTTAAGGGATTCAACTACTAAGTAACATATTGTGAAGTTGTTCTGTCTTTAGTGATTATTATTATTATTTTTTTTTTTAAGGAAAACTTAAAACTTTTGATGCAGACGCAGAAGTGGCTAAACATACATGTGACACAGCGTTCCCACCCGCCCCCACACTGCCTTTGCCTGTGGAACATTATGGCAGACAAGCTTTTCAAACTCAATTCAAACCCATCGTCATTTAGGAAGATACTTTTTGGCACTCACTGTGGATTTTGTCTGTGTCTGCATACTGGAAATGGTTTAAAAGAAAAAACAAGCGTGGCAGTGTTTAATGACAGAAGCAGACAGGCTGTCTTCAACAAGTAGCTTGTGGTCATTTTGCTTCTTTAGTGATTTACGTGCTTTAAACAAGTTGCATGTGGTGCTGTCCTGCTGCGAGGGGTCCCGCCCAGGGTCAGGCGTGTGGGACCCTATGCCTGCGTCGTCAGCTCATCTTGTTCCTGTGTGTGAAGTGGGACGTTTATTGTATCTGGTGGTTCTGCGCCTGAACTTTTGAACAGGAGATAGCCATGGTTCTTGAGGAGTGATTAAGAATGGATAATGGTGTGTGGAAATCCTAGACCCAGAGTAGCCGGAGTTCAGTGCTAATATTAAATATGATTAAAGTCACGTTTATTTTCCCTGACTCTTCACTACTTTTCAGTGAATTCCTGGTGATGTTTGCCTCTGAAATCAGCAACCCTGGACATCTTCCTAATGCTGATTTCTCTTTCCCTACTTGTTAGTGATGCCTGGGCACCAGCGTCTGAGTATAGAGACTGGCTGAGGAGGATGTCGGGAAGGTGTGACCCTGGGGCCTACGCGCTCATGTTCAAGTATGTGTTGCACCGACCAGTTCACTCTTCTCAAAGTTGCGTATTCACTTTTGTTTCTTAGCAAGTGTTGCCTCAGATCATCAAAATCTAGCTGTTATCTGATATTCGAGCTTCAATATAACAAAGAGGTTTAAATTTCCAGTCATGAGACGTTCTAATCGGACATTTCCTATTATTAAATCATAGGGGAGCTAGTCGCACTGAAACAGTCACATCTTTTAGAAAAAGAGAAAGTAAAGTGCCGGCCGATCTCTTAAAGTAAGAGTATTCCCGACTTTGCTCACGGGGGCTGGGGGCAGAGGGCAGAGGGCAGAGGCCACACGGCTGTCCCCCTGCAGGCGGGCCTTCCTGAAGATGAGCACCGGCCCCGAGGCCTTCCTGGCTCTCCGCAACCACTTTGCCAGCTCCCACGCTCTCCTGTGCGTCAGCCACTGGATCTTGGGCATCGGAGACAGGCACCTGAACAACTTCATGGTGAGCTTGGAGACGGGCGGCGTGATCGGGATCGACTTCGGACATGCTTTCGGATCAGCCACCCAGGTGAGTGTGCCCTTCTCCGCTCTGGGCTGGAGTTGCCCTGGGGCTTTGCGACCGCGACCGCTCTGCATACAGTCGGTTTGCATGGTCATTGATGTTGTCATTCTTGTGGAAAGGGAAAATCTCAGCTGTGTTTCAGCCTTGTGCAGACAGGTTGTGGAAGGTGTGCTGATAGATTAGATAATCGGAGCTAAGAGAAACGTGATCCTGTAAAAAGGTAGGAGGTTCTATGAAGCCCCGTTATGGAAACATCCTGCGTGGATGTGAAGCACACCCTCCCTGACATCAAGCTCCGAGTCTCCGTCTCCATGGCCGTGTCATTGCTCGTGGGCACAGTGACTTCACATCTGTGTGGCAGGAGCTGGTGTGCTCCCCACGCGTGAGCGACAGCCGTGGAAGGGCCCTCCCTCGCATCCACTGCTTCTCACACGTCCTTTTCTCTGTAGTTTCTGCCGGTCCCTGAGCTGATGCCTTTCCGTCTGACTCGCCAGTTTATCACCCTGATGCTACCACTGAAAGAAACGGGGCTCGTGGGCAGCACCATGGTGTGTGCGCTGAGGGCTTTCCGCTCGCGCCCAGACCTGCTCACCACCGCCATGGACGTGTTTGTGAAGGAGCCGTCCTTTGACTGGAAGGTGCGGTGGTCTCTTCGCACTTTGTGCCTTTGTTACAGCGTGCCTGTGATTGACCCACATCTCCTGTTACCTGGTGGGAATGTGTCGCGTTGTGTTGATTACTAAAATACTTACTGTTTTGTACAGCACTTTCTCAGAATGAACACTTGGGATCATTGGCTTGGCTTGAAAAGCAGATGAGACGTTCCTTTTGTTTGGAGGAAACTGACTTGAGAGTATTTTTAACCCTTTGGTGATGGTGGGTTTGGTTTTTCTGAGACAAGTTTTAGTTTAAAATCTGTTCCACACACAGTCCTCCTTGATCATAAAGACAGATCGTGCTTTCTTAAATCTCAAGGGTTCTTCACGATACTGCCCCCCAAAAGGGAGCACAGCAATGGCAGCCTCCACAGGGAGGGATCCTTTAAGCCTAAGGGTAAGACCCTCACGGTCGTGGTCACTGTTATCTGTGCTGCCGTGAGAGTGCATAAAAAGCTGCGGCGCCCTCCCCAGTC